TGGAATATATGATGTCAAAATAAAGACGAGCGTTAAATATTTATTTATTCATTTTTTTTATTATTATTAAAATGTGTTAAAAAAAACATCTTAAATACTCAACTGGCTATTAATTAAAGTCATAAGGGCTTTTGTGTCAAGTAGGACCTCAGAGTTTATTTTTATACTTTTTTCAAAAGTGGCCACAAAACCCACTCCAAAGCTAAAGGTCACGGTGGTAAAGGCGTTAAATGATACAACCGGCTTATTATACTTGATTTAGTTATAATTTATGATCTCATTAATCATCCAGCCATGCCAGTGTTAATGGCTGCCTTAGCATGTCATTTCTTCCTGTTATAGTAATTAATCTTTGCTCCGGTGGATAAGCCGGAAGGTTATGTACCAGCGCTGGCTTATTGTCTCGCTGTACTAACTTTGACTTGGACTATGTAGGACCTTTTAATACATTTCACAGTCCTGAGCACTTTGCCGAGCTAAATCGTTCTTGTTAGGACCTGACAAGCAAAGGCAAAGTCCTTAAAGGATTATCACAGATGATACTGACATGCCCATTGTCCAGTGGTGTAACTGCAGACAGTGCAGGCAGTGCAGTCGCACTGGGGCCCGTGTGTCAGGGGGCCCGCAGTGCACACAGGCCCTGCCCACATCGCAAGCGGGTCCGTGGCAACTAAGTGACTATATTAATATAAATATTAATAATACAATATAATTAGTGCTGAGATTCTTCACAGCAGTGCATAAATACATAAATGTGCATGTATTGTTTGTGTGCTTTAATAGACTAGTGGTAGAACTTTTGTCAAGCATTTCTGAGGTTCTGGGTTCTCATCCACCCTTGTGTAGTTTTCTTTTCTTTTTCTCATTAAAACCAAAGATGTTCATCAGTGATTGTATATCAAGAGCAAGGACACATTTGTGTGAATTTTGTTTTGTGCTTTTACCAGAACGAAGCTTTTACCAAGAGAGAACTGATAACAGCGGCAACGAGCACTCGCCATAACACATATTACAGCGATAGATCGCCTGTTATTTAACACAGACCAATTAATTTCTTATTGAATGGAGATGCTTCTTTCTTTTAGGTACATCCGTGCATGCTGCAAGATGTTGCAAAAAGTGGTGGGTTTGTGGGACACATCCCACCTGTAATTTACGCTGGAGAAACGCACGCAAAGAGAACTGTTCAATTTAATATAACTGATAAGATACTGATTTTAGTTGGTCTAAATTAAGTAGGTTAGGCACAAATTTGCTTATATGGGTTCCCTTCTAGACACGAGTGCTGTGTGTTTGTATGTGCTTCATAACCGTGCAGCCCAGGGGCCCGTCGTAATAGCCTGCACTGGGGCCCGTCATTACTATGTTATGCCACTGCCGTTGTCCATGAGCAACTATTGACATTGTGTCTCAAATCTGGCTCTGATTATAAAATCAGCTTTGATTATAAAAATAAGTTTTTAAATCTCATCTTGGTGAGATGTATTATTGGAAGATTTGGAGTGATAACTTATATTTACATGCATTTTATTTAACCCCTGTGTGTCGTTTTAAAACAAGTACAGAGAGGTCTTTAGAGGAGACAAGTGTCAATGTCAAAAATGGTAATAAAATATTACATACAGTATTATAAATGTTTTTTCTTTCAATAACAAATCTTTTACCAAATTGCTCCTGATCATAACTACCCCTTTTAACCCCTTAAATGCTCCCCCCCCCCCCATCATTTTGTTTTGAGGGGGGCAGTGTCAGATTATTACTATTTATAAAAGCAGAAATAAATGTAAAACTAACCATATAAATACAAAATAACCCATAAGGGTTAAGTAGTCTATTATACTGGTATGAAGATGTCATTGATTAATATTAAAATCTATTAGAATTCATCATACCTTATTTTTGGCCATATAAATATCAACAACTGCACCAAATTGTACATTTTTGCTCAGGTTGGGTATTTATTTTTTTTAATTTTTCTCCATATGATACTGTATGAGGCATAACAGCCTGATGCATAATAAAAAAAAAAAAATAGCTGGTGAATTTGGCAACAAATAAAGTCTTGCTGTTAAACCAGTTAAGAAGCTTGGCTAAGGAACCATCATCCAAAACACATCATGATGACCGACATGCTAGTGTTTTCAGCAGGGATCTCTTTGCCCTGCAGGTGACATCCATAGTCTTGAATTGTTACTGTGGAAGGCCGAGAGCACAAAAAAAAAAAAAAGCTGTGTTGTTAATCTAAATATTTAATAAGATTGCAGGTACCCAACCTGTAGAAACACTGGAGTTTTCTTTCTCTCTCTTTTTTTTTTTTTTTGTTTATTTTCCCATTGTTAGCCACATGCTGCATTATATTTTTAGGCACTCAGGTCTGTCAGTCAGAACTGTGGTTCTTTTCATAACCACTGTCCAAAAGAATGAGACCAAAGCCCAGGCTGCAAGAAAAGACAGAACGATACAAAGAAAGGCAATACAATTCATCGTCCAACCACCAGGACAGGTCACAGCAATGAAATGTCACAGAAAGCCAAGAAAATGTAACAGCGGCCTTGTTGTAGGAGGAAGAAAGGACATCACGTTGTGATGAAAATGCATCAATCCATGATGGTTGGATTGCAGTATTTTGTAAGACCAGAGTCTGAACCCCTTCGCGAGTTTCATTATGTTAGGGGGAAGGACGCAGTGAAGCGTGCACCAAGCAGCTGGTTTCATTAACCTCCTGTCCAACCCTGGAGAGAAGGAAGCAGGGTAAGGCGATGTAAATGGTGACCTTCTAAATATGCAGCCAGATATCAGCGAGTGAACGCCTCCCTGCTCTTGCGATTCAAAGAGAGGGAGGGAATGTAATAGCAGACAGCGAGGAAACTAGGCCACTTGTTTCAACAGTTGAGTCACCTTGGCAATACTGACTTTGTGCCTCTGGGGTGCGAATTTGCCCGTGTTACGGGATGTGATCGGATGGTTTGTATGCTGTCATATATACATTTATCACAGGAGAGACCTTCTTATATAATTTCTGGTAACAATTACATTGTAATGATAGATGTGTAACAATTGATCTGTTTTGTCAAATGGCTATTCAGCCTGTAATTGCTCCAACATCAGTACAGAGCCTATACCTCCATTAAAAATGAACAATGGATTTTCAAACAATGGACTTCATCTATTTTAATAGTTATTGTGTTTTTCAGACAATCACCATGTTCATTTTGTAGTAGTTGGCTAATTCAGTGATTGTGTGCTGTGCCTTTTGAAGCACGCCAACTGTGCCAGTATGAAACCAAAATAGTCTCTATTTACTTTCTTAATACACATTCTGAGTCTTACTGTGTTTCATATGTTATTGACATTATTTGGTAGAAAAAAAAAGTTGTTTGTATTTGTTGTGTTTCAGAACAAATGTAGTCTTCCACAACTGACTACAAACATGTATACGTGTATGACAACATAGGCTCATTGAAAAAAAAAAATATTTTAATTTTTTTTCAAAACTCCAAAATTGTACATATACATATGATTCACTGCAAAGGAAATGCAAAGTTCCTTGCAAAACAGTATATGTGACCCTTGAGCACAAAACCTGTCATAAGTAGCAAAGGTATATTTGTCGCAATAGCCAACAATACATTGTATGGGTCAAAATTATCAATTTTTCTTTTATGCCAAAAATCATTAGGATATAAAGTAAAGATCATGTTTCATGAAGATATTTTGTAAATTTCCTACTGTAAATATGTGACCCTGGAGCACAAAACCAGTCACGAGGGTCAATTTTTCGAAATTGAGATTTATAAATCAACTGAAAGCTGAATAAATAAGCTTTCCATTGATGTATGGTTTGTTAGGATTATCAAAACTTAACTTTTGATTAGCAATATGCATTGCTAAGAACTTCATTTGGACAACTTTAAAGAGAGGATGTATAAATCTCAAAAAAAAAAAAAAAAAGAAAAATAAATGACCCTTATGACTGGTTTTGTGGTCCAGGGTCACATATTATGACCTCAGTGCATTTTTACCATAGTGCACGATTAAAAAATTAATAAATTTTTACATCTACATCACGTAACCAGCTCCAAATGTATGGCTTTTCTGACATAGTAAACTTGCTCGGTAGCCCACCTGGTACTGCATTGTACTTTTGATGTGGAGCACTGTGGTACAAGTCCCGTGAAATACAAGACATGATAAGAAAGCTAAGATGGCATGGTTGCTTTGGCAAATAGGTTGTTATCTCACGTTTGCTTTTATTAACACTATCAATTAGGTTTAGGGTAGGGTTTAGTGTAGATGGTACTCAGCGCTGGGTAGTAACTGATTACATGTAATCTGGATTGCGTGATCAGATCAAAAAATATAAGTATTTGTTATTAGATTATATTACGTTTTAAAATGCTCATAATTAGATTACAGTTACTTTTTTATGGATTACTTGATTACGTGTTATTCACACAATGGCAGCAAATTATTTATACAGTATTCACCCTAATTCTTTTTTCCTTTTCTTTTAAAATTTCCTATTATCTATTATTTTCAAAAGCAATAGAGCTTCAATCTCCATCGCAGTGCACTTACTGATCATGTAATTACTGCTGTGATACTTACAACAACCAAACAAACACAACATTACAAGATTCATTAATTTAATCTGTTTTTTGATAAAACTGAATTTACTTTCAGCGCCACTGACTGGACATTGCATGCAGGGAGCAATGTCGTTTGGCAGAAATCTCACCACAGGCACATTTTTCAATGAGCATGGGTTGACGATACAATTCATTTCAAATAATTAATTTCTGATGGATAGTCAGGAAGTTCCTAACATATCTTTATTGTTAAATATCTGGTTTACTTTGAAAATCTGTTGCATTAGGCAAGTAAAACGGGTTGCCAGTGTGGTCTCATGTTGATTTTCAAAGAATATTATTGACTAGACTGTCACTGTTCAATGTTTCTGAACACTTCTTCGATCCTAATTTTTGTTTCCTGTCCTCTAGAGAGCTGACCTTGCTGTGGCTCCTCTCACAATCACCTTTATGCGAGAGAAAGCTATTGACTTCTCCAAACCTTTCTTGAACACTGGCATCAGTATTCTGTACCGCAGACCCAACAGCACCAACTCTGGCTTCTTCTCTTTCCTGAACCCCATGACCCCTGATATCTGGGTCTACATCCTGTTGGCCTACCTGGGAGTCAGCTGTGTACTCTTCGTCATCGCCAGGTGAGCGACAACCAATTGTTCCTGTGGCCTGTGCACCTGGGACTATTAACCTTCATGGTACCTTCCGATATTTGCTTTGAATTCACTTGGTAAAGCATCAAAGGGCAAACAGTAAAGTGTTATTAGTGGTGTTTGCTAAGGCTAAGGCACCAAACCATACCTTGTGAATAGACTATCAATGAGACTTGCTGGTGGGATTTTTGTGGCCATTGAAAAAACCTCTTAACAACCACCCAGAATGCTGTAGCAACTGAATAGTACACATGCACTTTAGGTGCACAATGCACATGAAAAAATAAAAATATTCAGAACATCTTAAGAACTGCATAGCATCATCATAACAACCAAAAACAGCATCCTTACATAATGACAGCAAGTTTTACACAGGTAAGCATCACTCACATTTTTATCAGAAAATTAAAAAATTTAAGTCTATTTTCAAATGACCTGAAGTCTAAGTGGTCATCTTCATGCCTTTAAATGTCATTGTCAAAAAGTTGAAACCTGATAAAAGCTGTATCATCAAGCTGCTTGCAGATGGCTCTGGGTTTAATATTGTGTTATTCAGATTCATACATCTGTAAATGTAGCTCGTACAAATGTTTTCACTACACGGTATATTAAATATAGATAATACACAACCTATTCTCACTCAGATACTGTCGCTATATTAACACCAAAAGCTTTGCACCAAATGTTTACTGACATACCCGGTAAGCCCGTTGGTTTTAATACTTTACATCAGTTTTCTTAAAGTTTCTTAAATTATCTAAATGTTTTTTAGGTAAGAAAGATGCTTTTATTTACAGTATAAATATTTGTAAGGCACCTAAGCTCATCCTTGCTTCTAAACCTAACCACTTCTTAACAATATTAGCCATGTAACAAGCAGATAAATGTCCTATGTAAAAGTAGTTAATAGGAAAAGTCCCATGCTCTTCACGTCAGTCTGTTTACACCAAAGGTTTCTCATTGAAAGCAGCAGGCTTTCCGGCTACATTGGACACTTTTGGTGTCTGTATAGTGACACATAGTCAAGCAGCAGAAAGGGTTGCAATTAATGCTGCCACTGATCAAGTGAACATTAAAATATCACACAATTTGTCATCCATTCAGTCATTTAAAGCCTGCTTTCCAAACAAGTGTTAACACCTTGCTTGAGGGTCCTTTGAGTGGCATTGTCATTATTTGTAGGAGTGCTTTAATCAGAAATGTGTATAGCACCTTCACTGAAGGGGCTTTCAAAGTGACCATTAATGAAGAGACTTTACAGAAGTCAGACTTACGGTCTGGATATTAGGACTCAGACCTCAGCCATTTGACGAAACTGCATCACGACTCAGTCTGAAAGGCTTTAGGTCTCATGAAAAACAACGTCAGGTGTCAAATCTCATACAGTTAGGAATCAGGTGAAATGCCTCAGACATGTATTTAATTTAATTTAATTTAATTTAATTTTATTTTATTTTATTTTATTTTATTATTTTATTTAATTTTATTATTTTAAAGTGCAATTTAAACTGTTCTGAAGTAACACAGGTATCACATGAACCTTTCTTTCTTTTTAATGCATTTTGCAGTTGGAAGAGTGCTTTTTTTTTAAGTGAGGTCATTTTATCTGGTGCCTCATTGTACAAGACCTGACATCTGACATTGTTTTTCCTGAGACCTAAAGAGGTGTGATGCAGTTTCATTAAATGGCTGAGTTCTGAGGATGTCCTAAAATGTATGCTATACAGTATATACACTGCGGCTACATGGGACGCTTGTGCATTTGATACAATATATACGTATTAATGTATTTGTATGTTTGTTTTCTAACACATTATTTTAGAAATTAGCGTAAACTTTAGCAAAGCAAATACGAATCAGTCGAATGAGGAATCACTCATCATGGCACTGCTCTTGCCTGGAAATATAATATATTTCCATATTTTAATGTATGTTTTAAGTTTCAAAAGAATAAGCAAGAAGTACAAACGGAGACTTCAGCACTCACGGACCAGTAAGTGTGTAATAACAGATGTTATTTACACCATCTTACTGGTCTTGTCTTTTCAAAGACCAGAACATATCCAGGTTTCAATTTTCCAGGGCTTCATATAGTTCAATGCTTGGAGACCCAAAAAGAAGATGCACAGGCTTATTTTTAATTACAATCAATCACAGACTATCAAGAATGCTGACATTTTTGACTTTCTGCACTTGAATAAGAGAGAGAAAATAACCCGGTTGTACACACAGTTGAAGACGTAATTAGTAGCTAATTATTATTATTATTATTATTATTATTATTATTATTATTTATTTATTTATTTTAGAATAACTAACACTGGTCACATAGAAGATGGAAAGATGAAGGATTGACTATTTTACATTTTTTTATTACACACATCAACTTTTACACAAAGACAGTGGAAGATTAATACACATGGATATATTATCTAACATGCAGATTTTTATTTCTTTTTTTTTTCAAGCAGTGAATGAAAACATGTACATAGACAAATCCTACAATGTGTCTTCTGCGAGTTTCCAGCTTGTGCTCTGCTAACAAGTCCCTTGGCAATACCTGCGTCTCTCATCTTTTGAAGCATCTGCTTTGAGATGTTCCTTGTACTGTAGATGTTAAAGGACAGGTGTTCTAAGAGAAATTACAGGCATCTGCAGTTGCTGGGAGTGTCCAGATGTAATTACGTAATAGTTTAACAAGCTGTTGAAAAGAACCAAGACGTGCACTCTCGTCACAGTTAGCGAGTACTTGACTTGATTTCAGCAAAATACACTGACGTGGCCAATCTGTAATATTTCCGCAGAGTTAAAAACACCTTTGGCATGATAGTAAAGTTTAGTCTTAAAGTAAAGTGCTTTTCTAATACGGACAGTTCATAATTAGAACTCAGAAGTCACTTTGTACTAGTGACATAAGAGTGTGTATTAGCAAATATCACAATGTGAAATTTTATAACATGCATTAATGACTACCCTTGTGAAAAAGAAGTGTGCTTAATTGTATTGACTGTACTCTTGTATTGTACTTCAAATCTAAGAAGTATATACAAAAAGTTAATAAAATATTACCTAAATAAAATGTTGCATGTACTGTACATAAAAAGTGCACTTTTTTTAAGTAAAATTTCTACCTTAAGGTACATTTTAAATTTAAATTTTAATAATATTCTGTCATACAGTATAGTACACACATTTTAATGTGTTGACTAACTGAATAAAGCATATGTAAAGTACTTGATTCTAATTTTATCCATAGTGTGTTATTCATATTTTGAATGTACTAAATTGTGACTCATTAATGTTTAAATACAAATATATGTAAATAAGTTATATGCAATTTTCAACTAAAAATGGCATTATTAAGTATATGTTTTATTAATAAATATATGTTAGTTTATCACTTTAAACATTTTTAAAGAAAGAGAATATAAGAAATTATGACATTATGACATTACATAGAAAGCTGTACTCAAATCCTACTTGGGGGGGGGGGATTAAGTGTCCAAAACAACATGTCCTCCAACCAATACGCCCGTATAGGTCGTTTGTGCAAATCCCTGAAATACGACCCATCAGAGCGTATACTACAATTGCGCCCCTATCGGCAACAGGAAACTTTCATATTAATGAAAGAGCATCGTGTTATAAGACAATATGCAATCATGTGATCATGGGCTCGATCCCAGAGAACGCATCTGCTCATAAAATGTATATGCACTGTAAATTTGCACTGTAAATTTCAACTGTAAATGCACATGATTTCTGTGAGGGTAGGTTTAGGGGCGGGGTTAGGTGTGGTCATTCATACGAATTCGTATGAATTAGCCACCTAGTAAAATATGTACAAATTGCCAGTGAGATCGAGTTGGACCATGTAAAAAGTCCACAAATTGCATTTAAATAAACACACATTTTGATTGGTAATTACAATCATACGTCATTTCATGATGACAGACGCAACACGACACTGTCATTATTTTTATGCGCTAGAGGGCACTAAACTTTAAAACGTAAAAATAGGTCGTAATAAGGTGCTTGCACAAACGACCTATAGGGTCGTTTTTTGCTGGAGGACAGTCTGGTCCAAAAACATGACACTCAGTTGAATATTCTTTAAAGGTTTTTGTTCCCCTACCCTGTAATAACTACTCTTTTTGAAAATATGCCACAGTGTACTTCTTTCTTAAAATGGTGTATTTCTAAATTTTCAGAAAAATGTACCGTTAAATGGTTTTTGCAGAATGATTGGGTTTTGTGTATGGTTGCTAAAGTGTTCTGAGCTATTCTCAGCACATTGCTATGCAGTTACTAGGGTGCTCCTCAATAGTTGCTGGGATGTTCTGAGTAGTTCCAACGCAAGTCAGAAGAGCCCTCTATGATATTATGGTCCCTAGATGTGGAAATTGAATAAACTATTATTTTTGCAGTTCTGTTTGGTGTCGTTGGTAGTGAAAAACACTTCACCTTTAAATACAGAGGTCATGTTTGAGAACTTTCTCTGGTTCCTGCTACAGGTTCAGCCCGTACGAGTGGTATGACGCCCATCCGTGTAACCCAGGCTCCGATGTGGTAGAAAACAACTTCACCCTTCTCAACAGCTTCTGGTTTGGCGTGGGCTCCCTCATGCAGCAAGGTACAGTGCTTCTTCTGCAAACTCAACGCACTTTCCAAAGACGGCAAACAAGCCAAAAAACCTGACAACAGCGTGATGTGACTGTCTTCCACCCTTTACCTGTCAAAACCATGTTGAGTTCAGACTTTTCTGACAGGAGGAGGAAGTAGTTATCTTGCTTGTCAGTGAGGCGGAGATGAGGGGTGTCAAACATCTGTCATACACACTGGCAGGTTAGAGGGATAACAGCAGCATTTGTTTCCTGACACATCCGAGACCTTCACGATTGTGAGTTTGAGGTTGGGATGAAAGTCGACAGAAGACTGTCTCTATCGTAGCAAATGCACAGTGGGGCGTCTCTGTGGTTCATCTCATCTTCGCTTGGCCAGATGTCCAACCCTCTATATGTTGTTCTCTTGCCTCAATGCAGTGTTTTATTCATTCGTCACAGCTGGCACACGGCTTCAGAGTGACACAAGGAGATCATAAGGAAATGAATAGGCTCGTTTCAGATGCCAATGACTTCGCTTTGAATGTAGAAGAGAGTAGGCCGTTACTGTCAGGGGAGGAGACAGAAAAGAGCAGTTAAATCGGGCAAAACCCACTTCTCGTAGTGGACCAGCAATCTAGCAAAAGCAGATGTCCGGACTCTGAACACTGCCGCCACCTGTCGCAACACGTTAGCATGACCTGGACAGTATTTTTAACCAACTTCAAACCTGTCGGTTATGAGTTCTACGCAGAATTTGCTAATTTCAAACAGTCCTAATGCTAATGCATAACACAGTAGCAGTTCTCGGATCATTTTGTGTTGGACACGAATAAATACATGAAGTATCACTAATAATACTGATTCAGTGAGTAAGTGAATCATTACACCGTGTGCTAACCAGATGAAGTAATAAGCTATAAAAGCTGTCTTTTCCATGTTTATCAGAGTTTTTGTCCTAACCAGTCATATTGGCGATATGTGATGAGCAAAAGCGTATTCTGTTTTAGAAACTGTTAGTATTTCTGCAACGTTGAGGCTGGAACAACAACAAACAGTCCATGACAGTGATGAATTCAGGTACTAAATGTGCTTTATTTAATGTTGAAAGGGTCTAATGTCAGTTATAAAACGGATAGTTCTGGTCCTTGATTCTGATTGGTTGAGCCGACTAAATGTGTAATGTTGAAAGGGTCTAATGTCAGTTATAAAACGGATAGTTCTGGTCCTTGATTCTGATTTCTGATTCCGCGTTCGAAGCTGTTGTAAATTACTCTACAAACATACACCTTTGTTTACTTCTATGTGTTGCTTGGCAACCGCTTTGTTGGAACCACAACTGTTTCTGAGGAACTACATTGTTTGGTGGAAGAACACTGTTTTTATTTATATCATTACACTTTATATGCTCTGTTCCCTTTCATGGGAACTTCGAACTGCGTCCTCTAGGGGTCGCTATAGGGGAACGCCTCGTCGTGACCCGTGTCTGAAGCATACATTGAAAAAACACCAACTCGTTGGCCGGCGACAGCCATGACGTCACTACCGGTGCGACTATAGTATAAATTGGCGCCGGGAGCATACATCATTCTCTTCTTTGTCTTCATTGACTGTTTTGTTTGAAGCGTGCATTTCTGTGGTAAGAGCGATCTCTATTTATCTCATTATGGCGAGCACTAGCAAAGCATTTAAGGATGTGTGCATCCGTGTTGACGTTGTTTAACATCTGATGACACACACGATCTATGCGTTGTTTGTTTTGGCAAAGAGCACGCACGCAACGTCTCCGAGGGGGCAATCGGCGTGCACTGCGAGCGTTTTTTCCAAGGAAAAAAGCTCCGCTCTCGTTTGTCTCTCTTTTCAAGGAAAGAGGGGCAGCCATCTGCTTCCCGCGATTCAGGACCCGCTGCTGCTGAGGCACGGAAGGGAATGAGCTCGTGGGGATCGCAGGTGGATCTGGCCGATGAG